AGTAAACACGTCTCTACTAGGAAAGGGGAATCTATACAGTACATGCATAAAATTGTTGTTTCGTCAGGATGATAGAAAGGTCGTACTGAAATTTTCAACTTGTCCTCTTGTAGAATTTTCATCATGGTGATTGAAAGTACATTTGAGAAAAGATGTCAGAATGTTGAACCGCCCAATGAGTTATCATTTATGACAGCCAGCATTTCAACTGCTTTCATTCTTACCAATATCCCTGGCAATATTCTTATCTTCTTGGCTGTTGTACTTGATCCAAACAAAAACTTACGAACTCCATTTAACTGGTTAATTATTAATCTATCAGCGGCTGATTTTGTTGTTGGCATCATCGCTGAACCTTTCATGGTGTATTATCATATTAAAGAAGGACTTAACAAAGAAGATCCCGAAGAACAGATCATAAGTCATATTGTTTATTTCGTCTCATGCACTGCTTCGATCCTCAGTCTTACAAGTTTGGCAGTTGAACGATATCTGGCTGTGAGAAGGCCAAGTACCTACCGAAATAAAGTGACCAATAAACGAATTCTATTAACAATAGCAATGATCTGGTTGATTTCGTTAACTTTACCAAATATTTATCTTATTGTTGGTTTCACTGCATACGCATTCATATTTTCCAACACCTTTATCATCATTGCTGTAATAATCATTTGTATAACATACACTTTAATGAAGAGAAAATTGAAATCCCGAAGTAAAAGAATATCAGTAACTCCAGCCACTTCATCTGAGGCAAATCAAACTTCGCCAAATGAAGGCATGTCAACTCTCAGTAAAGATGGTTTCGAGACAAAGAAACAACTGCTGGAGGCCAAAATCACTCAAATGTTTCTTATTGTTCTAATAGCGCTTCTATGCTGTTATGGTCCCTCAACTTTGATGATGTATTTGGTGAATTTCTGCCAAGACTGCAGTTGTATATCTCTCCACTGGTTCCGTGACATCCATACTTTGTTTGCTCTGATAAATTCATCTGTTAACTTTTTCTGCTATGCTTTAAGATCTGCCAGATTCAGAAGTGCGTTTGTTAAATTGCTACAGAATCTAATCAATTATCGAGGTGTTGATGGCATTTAACTGCATGTAATATTTATAGGAATTATTTGTCATTTCTCATCTTCTCGACAATAATAGGCTCCTTTAGATGCATTGCTTTAGTAGACTTTAGTTTTAAATACTCCATAGCAATTCATAACCAAGACTACCATCAATCATCATGTAAAATTTACGTTGTACCGCAGGCTATATATGATATAATAAGAACGATGGTTGCATTAGTTAATACTGGACTAGTACATTTAAATTATACCAAATTAAAAAAATTGGTGAACCATACTATGTGTATTTAAATTCCGAAGATCAGCATTCCGAAGTTCAAATAAAATGTTCGTCGATCCTTTTCGTAATCGTACGTTGAAATATTTGGCATATTTTGGGCAGCCTAACCCGGACCCCACAGCTGATCACAAAACTTACGCCCGTTTCAAACGGCGATGTTTTCATGTGCGGAACATAATGACCAACTTCAAACAACAGGTAATGAGATGATAAACCACATTATCAACTGATTATCTATTGTTTTAATTGCATTAGACGCACCAAAATGCGATGTATGACATAAGCCTTATAGGCCAGGGGCCGGTTGTTCGAAAGGCGTTTAGCTTAAACGGTAGATAAGCTAAAGTTTAAAAATACTCTCATAGGTCTTGTGAATGACTGAACCTGCATCTTATGCATTTAATATGTACTTCCATTGACAATTAAACCTTTTACATCGAAATATTTTAGCTCAGTTTTTCAATAAATAGATAATTTGGTTTTCTATTTTTAACTTATCCACCGTTTAAGCTAAACGCCTTTCGAACAACCGGCCCCTGGATTATACGTCGCATTTTGAATATCAAATAAGAAATGTTGATATTGACGACAAAATATCTTCCTAATAATATTTCTCAATAGTCCTATTCCTAAAGCGTAGTTTTGTCATGTGTCATGTGGTTATGACTGGTGAGCTTTATTAAGCCTAAGAAACCATATTCGAAATAACAAAAGAATTCATTCATCATTGATTAATAATAAAAAATATCGCTGGTGGAAAACCGGCTTTAATTCTGTTTATGTCATTAAAAGGCCGGCCTCCACTTGTACGTATGTACGCGGCGAAATCGCACGTACGGCTTGTGCGTTGACGGCCGCCTAGAAAAGTATAGACTACAGTTCTACTGTCATACTTTCGAGTCACCGAGCATGCGTAAAGACGGACGCACTGACCGTACTTGCAAGTGGAGTTTACACTCACGCGCTGTTCAACTTTTGCATTTTGACAATAAATCTGCAACCTAAATATGATTATAAATTACATTGATCATTTTGAGCAAATTACCAACGTGGGAAAATTAAAATGTTAATTTAAACAGAAAATTATTTTGTTTTAGGTATTGGTGGGTTTCACGTATTTTTTTGATAGTGATTTGAATTGGGGTCAACATTAATTGCTTCGACCCCTTATGCTGAACATTAGTGAACAAATGATACGAAATTGCGTATAATTATTTGCTACGAAGCACAAAGCAACAATTAACTCACTCCAATATACTGTGTCTCGACTTCGAGATGACCCCCCCTGGAATTATGACGTCAAATGAAACCCAAGAATACTTCAAATCAATCAGATAATGAAAAAATGTAACGCGAACGTCACTATTTTCTTAATTTAAAACTCTCTGCTCAAAATATGTAAAATGATTAATTATATATATAGAATAATATATATACTCAACAAGCAGCTGGACTGGAAACTTATCACTTATCTTTATTTTGAATTGAGCTTGTTTCTTTTACAAATGAGTATCAGTATATATAAGGGGACAGTGAATTAGGTAGCGGTACATTGGCGTAGCCAGCATGACGATTTTGTCCCTCTATGTAAATTTCATGTTATCATAATTATTGTCTTTAAAAATTTATTGTTTTCACAGTTAATGAACACCAAAATACTACGCTACTCACCAGGTAGTAAAGTAATAAATCAAAAAGTCATAGGTTTTGTTGTTTGAAGTAAAATATAGCATATCCTCAAAAAATCATATAGTGGGGTTCAAATTTAATTTAGATGTTGAGAAATATATAGTTTCGTTGCACGTATATCTATATATTTTACATATTACGATTTACGTAATGTATTTTGGTAAAATTATTATTGCCAAATATTAAAATTTCAAATGTGTACTTTATTATCTTATTTTAAAATTTACATATTTCGTATGACGTTAAATTAATAAAATATATTTAAAACTTATTGCTTTACCCAACGAATGAAGCATGGATTAAACTTATATTCGAAACAATAGAAAGGTAGGGACGAATTGGGCAAGCAAAGAGCTCTTGCTACATCTGCAACTTTCCGTTTATATTCATTCAGGTTAAATGACTTCAGCCAGTCAGCAATACGCGTCACGATGACCACCTGACACAACTTTTCTTTAATTTAAAAAAAATTGACACACGTCAAATATTGTACTTCAGTATAGCGAAGACAGCTGCCCATATCCTCGTTACTTTGCCCAAATTGAAAATCAGCGTCCCGTCTGCTACATAGGCTCGATCCCGTCTTGCTTGATTTCTTATTCTATATTTCTGCACTGACAAACTCATCTTTAAATTTGAATAATCACTGAGAAAGGTAAGTAAGTTTTTTTTCAAACTTACAATTCAATGATTCAGTAATATTTCGCACAGTAATTGCTTTGGTAAATTTTCAAACAACATTATATGAATTACGTCGCACTTATGAAGGCCTGAGTTAATGGACCGAAACCTTTGCAGTACAAATCAGTACTTACGTGGTATACCTACAAAGGAATTTACTTAGCTATATTGTGATATCACCATGCAAATTTACAAGAATGTGAAATTTTTTAAAAATGTTATTTTCTCAGACGGGGTAGAATTTTCAGTTGTAGCTAGTAACGATTGCATTCTATAAAATTAATGATCATTAATTTTACTAAAAATGCATGTCTATAGTCTTAAACTTAGACTAAAAGATTATATAGACTGTAATAAAAATTTCACGAAAAGCTTGGCATTTGGTAGAATTGCTTTGTTTGGTTTACGTTATTATAGCGTTATTATAATTATGTATTGTAATAAAAATTTCACGAAAAGCTTGACATTTGGTAGAATTGCTTAATTTGGTTTAAGTTATTATAGCGTTACTATAATTATTCTGTAATAAAAATTTCACGAAAAGCTTGATATTTGATAGAATTGCTTAGTTTGGTTTACGTTATTATAGCGGGAGGACTATAATTATTATAGGAAACTAAGTAGGGAGTAAATAAATTACTTTTAATAAACGTGAGTGTTATGTAGAGTTTTTGTCACCGTGAAAAATCGTATTTACCTTTAATTAATTGTATTGAAAATAAACTATAGAATTTACTCACTCTCTTTCAATTCGAATAATATTTACACGTTCGTACTTGTTCGATATTTTGGCGCACTATTTTATTCTGTCATGACATGTCATTCTGTCATCCATCACGCCAACATTTTAGTATGCATTAAGTATGAGAGATCAATTTCTAAAGAAATGAATACTATCGATAATTAGGCATGAAAATGTCTTAAATGTTTTACTTAGTTTATGGCGGATAATTATGCCAGCGAAGAAGATTTCGAGCATAGTGTTCCTAATCTTAACGTTTATAGTTTTACAAATAGCACCCTATTCCGGACTAGGGTCTTGTAGGCGTTTCAGCTGGGGTCACGTTTTGTAGACATATCCCACGTTACCGCATGATAGAAATCCCAGCTTCGGCGTCACGTGTATTAAGAAACATATGTAGTAGTATTACTAGTATACACGTCTCTACTAAGAAAGGGGAATCTATACATGACATAAATATGTTGTTTCGTCAGGATGATGGAAAGGTCGTACTGAAATTTTCAACTTTTCTTCTTGTAGAATTTTCATCATGGTGATTGAAAGTACATTTGAGAAAAGATGTCAGAATGTTGCACCGCCTAATGAGTTATCATTTATGACAGCCAGCATTTCAACTGTTTTCATCCTTACCAATATCCCTGGCAATATTCTTATCTTCTTGGCTGTTGTACTTGATCCAAACAAAAACCTACGGACTCCATTTAACTGGTTAATTATTAATCTATCAGCGGCTGATTTTGTTGTTGGCATCATCGCTGAACCTCTCATGGTGTATTATCACATTAAAGAAGGACTTAACAAAGAAGATCCCGAAGAACAGATCATAAGTCACATTGTTTACTTCATCTCATGCACTGCTTCGATCCTCAGCCTTGCAAGTTTGGCAGTTGAACGATATCTGGCTGTGAGAAGACCAAATACCTACCGAAATAAAGTGACCAATAAGCGAGTTTTATTAACAATAGCAATGATTTGGCTGATCTCGTTAAGTTTACCAAATATTTATTTTATTGTTGGTTTCATTGCATACGCATTCATATTTTCCAACACCTTTATCGTCATTGCAGTAATAATCATTTGTATAACATACACTTTAATGAAGAGAAAATTGAAATCCCGAAGTAAAAGAATATCAGTAACTCCATCCACTTCATCTGACGCAAAACAAACTTCGCCAAGTGAAAGCATGTCAACTCTCAGTAAAGATGGTTTCGAGACAAAGAAACAACTGCTGGAGGCCAAAATCACTCAAATTTTCCTTATTGTTCTAATAGCGCTTCTATGCTGTTATGGTCCCTCAACTGTGATGATGTATTTGGTAAATTTCTGTCAAGGCTGCAGTTGTACATCCCTCCACTGGTTCCGAGATATCTATATTTTGTTTGCTCTGATGAATTCTAGCGTTAACTTTTTCTGTTATGCTTTAAGATCCGCCAGATTCAGAAGTGCATTTGTTAAGTTGCTACAGATTAAATATCGATGTGTTGATGGCATTTAACTGTAATAATTATATGAATTATTCGTCATTTCTCATCTTCTCGACAATAATAGGCTTCTTTATATGGATTTCTTTAGTAGATATAAGTTCTAAAATTAATACTCCTTAGTAATTCATAACCAAGACTACCATCAATCATCATGTAAAATCTATGTTACATATTCGCAGTTACATTGTCATTGTCATTGATATTCTCTTAAGCCGGTTTTCCACTAGCGATATTTTTCGCGCGAAGCGACTTTATTCCTTTGTATTTGAGCAATTTGTTCCAGATGGTTGCAGTTGAGAGCTCTGAAACAAAAGTAAAATGTCGCTTCGCGCGAAAAATATCGCTAGTGGAAAACCGGCTTTATGTCTCGCATGCGTATAATTTACATGATAAAAATGTGCTGTGTCGTAGAAATGATGAGATCTCACATGAATTCCAATCCGGAGTAAAAAATTAAGCGATAAAAAATTCGTCGGATTCGTCGTTGGGAAACTCGGTTTGACTTCAACAAGCACTGCATGGGCAACCGTTATACCTTAGAAATGTTGATATTGACGACAAAATATCTCCCTAATAATATTTGTCTAATAGTCCTATTCCTAAAGCCTAGTTTTGTCATGTGTCATGTGTTAATGACTAGTGAGCTTTATTAAGCCTAAGAAACTTTTTCGAAAAAAACACAGGAATTCATTCATTATCGATCACCATCGGTGACATACTAGGGTGTCCTAAAAAACCCCAAAACTATTGAAATCTATTGAAATTTATTTGAAGGACTTGTTCGCGAATTTTTGCTCAACACAACTTATAAAATGCTAAATACAACAAAATAAAATATGCTAAATTTAAATATTGTTATCTATATTAATTTTGTGAAGTTTAAATATTGGTAATAAAAATCATTTGCGGTTACAAAAAAAATTTATTGTCATCATGCATAAAAATGCTTATGCCGCAAACATTTATACACTTGTGGATCCCTACAAGGGTGCTTGAGCCCGTTCTCCGCTAGGCGAATTTATTCGTGCGTAGTAGCGATTCTACCTTTTCGCGGAGAATTTTTTCACAAAAACTAATCACATCACTGGATTTCAAATATCGTTTCGCGTCGCGCGTATTATTTCGCCAAGTGGAAGACGGGCTTTAGACTTTTTTTTGGAGTCTTTTGAGACAGCTGTGGCGTACACAGCCTGACGATTCAATCCGGCAATGTAAATTTCCAGTCTCCTTCCCAGGGTATTTTTGTTATGAATTTCTTTAGACATTGATCATTGTTTTACACGCAGTCACGCAGTTTCTAAACAAATGCATACATACGACATGCTGGCCCGGGTTGTCTTGATTATAAGGGACGGAAAACCTGCACATCAAAAGAGAAAGTCGTTTATAAAATATGTGTACAAACTGCCCGGAATAACATCAGACGAGTTTCCCATCTTAGATAAGTTAACCCTCATTAATTTGAATTCGCTATTGACATATGCGCTGGCGGTAGTCAGCCTGACGATTTAATCTCGCTACATAAATCATAACAACTATTAATTTCTTTAAAAATTGATTGTTTTAAAGGTTTATGAACTCCAATATATTAGCATAGCGGGACTGAAGCGTCAGTATGGCTAAGCCACTGAATATACAGGTATACTTAATAAGCAAAAACAATGCCTGCCAATAACACACGCGTCGTTTTTATTTCCCTGCAAATAGCCGTGCTCCGCTTTATCCTCAGTTATTTTTCATTTGCATTCACCAACACAATTATGCAGCCGCAGCTTGCTAATTCTAGGATTGATCTGTGAAATAATTTGTGGGAAAATCGTACTTCTAAATAAACTTGTATTAAGAAGAAATATATCAGTAAGTTATTTGTTAAATTTTCTTGCGTATTAATTTCTTGCGTATCTCTTAAGCCCGGTACAGACAGTTTTCAAGTTTTCCTACACAAGTTTTCTTGACCAGTTTACTTGCTCGTGTATATGACGAACAAGTTTTCGTTGACAAGTTTTCCTTGCCACGTTTTATTTGCTCGTGTGTACGATAACATGAGCCATGATAAAACAAGTGTGCAACCGAATCTCAAAACAAATAGAAATTGAAAAACTTAAAAACTCGCTTTATTGGCGCGAAGATTGTTAATTGCGCTTTTCCCCACTACCCCTTATCAACTTTTCCTTGACGGCTGTACACATGAGGATTTCTCTTTGTTGAAAAGCTTGCATGATTATAGGCTATAGCTTTTGAACAAAGCTCCTTGTCAAGGAAAACCTGTCAATTTTTTCGTATATACACAGGAGCAAATAAAACTTGGCAAGAAAAACTTGCCCGTCTGTGCGGGACTTTACCTAAGTATCAAAGTGGCAGACCGTAATATTTTACACGGCTGAACTTTATAAATTTTCAGTTTGATTTGCTTGCACAATACGGATTGTCGAGTAATCCTTGTGTGTCGCAAATTATTTACTAAAACGCTGCAGCATAATATTGACACAATGGTGGTTCAAATGAAACATATGTTGATATATGTTTGATTTAAGTAACTAGAATTCGGGAACTTAATTTGGATTAAGTCAACATTACGCTTACTATTTGACCGCATGCTGATTGGTCTAGAAAAGCTATTAGCTACGTATGTAGAGAATTATAATACATGGATGCGCGAAAATATGGAATTTATTTTGATGGCTGAGAATAGCATCCACTTTTTGAGAATAATATCTATTGATATTATAATTTATAATAAGAAACTTTTCGTTGGAAGTTCTTTATTCCCCAGCGCGTATGCCTGATTGTTGGATCAAACACGATGATCGCACATGCACATGAACGTTATTATCATGAATAATCACACATTTGTTATTATCACTTTTCAATAAAATACTGCATATGATATAATAAATACGGTTGTTTTCAGGATTGCGATTGGAGCATTGATCGCACCTTTGCAAGTTGTACTTGCACTGTTGAAATTAAACTATGATAAATTTTAATAATTATGTTGAAAATTAATAAACCGCTATATTTGTCTTTTTTCAATGACAATAGTTACATATAATTAATAAGTAATAAAAAGCATTAAGCCGTGCAATGAACTCTAAAATTATACTCGATCGTGGTTAACAAATGAACTTTCAGCGGCCCGTTCGGTTGATATTAAGGCGATTCTCCATTACCTCCGCTCCGCCCGCGCAGGCGAAGCGCGCTTTGTTTTTCAGGCCGGTCATGGTCGCATGGACAGAATTTCAAAAGCCGCTTCGCCCGCGCGAGTGAAGCGGACGTTAATCGCCTTTAGGGGCCTTAACTCCTTAAGCATGTAGGACGGGAACACGACGACGACGTGGTTGGAATACTCCTTTAAATAAATGTTATGATAAAGCGTTGTTGTATAAATTATTATCAACTGTACCAATTTAATGAGGTATAAGACGTTGAAAATATTGTGTTTACGTTTAGGGACAATTCTGTAGAGCCTATTCGAGGTAGCGCTCACTGGCGTTGTAAACAGAACGTAGATCACGTCTAAAACTCCCAGGTATTTAATAATTCATTTATTTTCAATGAATCATTGTATTGATAGCTGCCGTCGTCGTGTTGCCGTCCTACATGTTTAAAGGCCGCGCACACTAGAGCTATGTGCTTAGCAAAAAGTCATTCGTGGCCATCGGCGTAAGGCAGTTGCTCTCGTGTACGGGCGACTTTACCGGCGACTTTTGGCACGAATGACGAAAGTCACTGGAAAAGTCGCCCGCACACGAGAGCAACTGGCTTACGCTAATGTCCACGAATGACTTTTTGCTAAGCACATAGCTCTAGTGTGCGCCGGCCTTTAGGTCCCTATCGTAACCACTCGTATTATTTTTGCAATAATTATTCTCGTTATTCGTTCTTTTCTTGTAGAATTTTCACCATGGTGATGGAAAGTACATGTGAGAAAAGGTGTCTGACTGTTGCACCACCAAATGAGTTATCATTTATGACAGCCAGCATTTCAACTGCTTTTATTCTTACCAATATCCCTGGCAATATTCTTATTTTCTTGGCTGTTGTTCTTGATCCCAACAAAAACTTACGAACACCGTTTAACTGGTTAATTGTTAATTTATCAGCGGCTGATTTCATAGTTGCCATCATCACTGAACCTCTCTCCGTGTATTATCATATTAAAGAAGGTCTTGGCAAGCAAGGCTCCGAAGAGATGATCAGCTTGATTCATTTGACTTACTTCATCTCATGCACTGCCTCCATCCTCAGTCTTACAAGTTTGGCAGTTGAACGATATCTCGCTGTGAGAAGACCAACTACTTACCGAAATAAAGTGACTAATCAACGAATTCCTACAACAATAGCAATGATTTGGTTGATTTCGTTAAGTTTACCAAATATTTATTTTATTGTTGGTTTTACTGCATACGCATTCATATTTGTAAACGCCTTTATTGTCGTTGCTGTTGTAATCATTGTTATAAACTACACTTTAATGAGGAGGAAATTAAGATACCGAGGTAAAAATTGTGAAACAACTGCTCCTAACGAAGCTCGTGTAAATCGAATCTCAGAAAGTGAAGACCAGTCTTCAGTCAGTAAAAATTGTATCGAAATAAAGAAGCAACTGCTAGAAGCCAAAATCACTCAAATGTTCCAGATCGTAATTACAGCTCTCCTGTGCTGTTATGGGCTCTCTACAGTGATGATGTATTTGGTAAATTTCTGTCACGATTGCAGTTGTACTTCCATCCATTGGTTCCGAGATCTTCATGTCTTGCTTATTTTGATGAATTCAAACATTAATTTTTTCTGCTATGCTTTAAGATCTGCCAGATTCAGAAGTGCATTTGTTAAATTGCTATACGGTTCAATTCCGTGTAGTTGAATTAAGATGGAGTGACAGCACCCTCTGGCGTTAGAAAATATGAAATATGTCCTACAGCATTCGCTCACGTACGACTTATTTCATCAGCTAGCAAGCCTTTATATTTACCATGAGAACAATAAACAAAGCTTCCAAAAGAAACTA